TCTAGCTGCATTTCCTGTTGGTATTAATTTTTCTATTTTTCCATCTTTTTTTTTAATTAATTAATTTGTTTTTAGCTGGACTCGTCGAGCTTGGGTGGTAAGTGGTATCAAATTAAGTGCACTGGCTTGAGAAATCATGATCCTTACTTTTTTCATTTTAGTTTTAATTTCTTATTTTATCTTTGTGTAATCAAACCTTAGTATTCATATTATTGTTTGGTGTTGTTTTTCCTTACGATTGGGAAAGATTGAAACAAATTATTGAAGTTGCTTTTCTCGAAACTTGAGCTTTCTGTCAGCATATGTCAGTTACGTGCGTGACACATACATTATTGTTTTTCATAATGCCAATTTCAAGATAGTTGTTCGTAAAGTGTGTAAGTTTCTTCGTTCACTTTGAAAAATTTCTTGTTTGTGATCTTAGGGAGGCCCGTTCATGGACTTTTTTGCAAAAGATATCTGAAGGCTGAAAAATTATACGGGAGAACTTTGTTTGGGTTCGAAGCTAAAGAAATACTCTCCAAGGTAAATTTCTGGTTGCTGATTTTTTGCATTTTATACAAATTTCCATGATTTATAGAAGCATCTCTGTTTCGATCTTTGGGGCTTGAGGAGGTGTTGGGTGAATTTAGCTGAGGAATTAAATGTTTGTCGATGATTGTACGAATTAAACAATGCACGATCATAGAATTGCTAGCAAACTCTGTGTATATTGGTTACTGTGTTGGTTATTCTTTATTTCTTTCCAGTCGATAATGTTGTGTAAGAAATACGTGAAGATATCATAATTTGTTTCTGTGTATAATAATATTCTCTAGACATCAAATGCGATTTGTTGGTTAACTGAAGAATAGAGACTGATCTTTGGTCGTCACTGATCTTCTTAAATTCCGACAGTTGACATTACTTCACACTTGTCGTTTTCAACTTTTTCTCCAAGCTTTGTGTCTTTGTTCTAACACAAATTTTATATGCTTGCCAAGGGGGAGCAAAATGGGTACCCTGATGATGCATCAAGATTCCCGGGACTCTTAAAGGATTCATGAA